CCCTCCTACATGCTCAGCCCCCCCTTCTCCAGCTCCAACCCTCCCTCTTGCCCCCACGTGCGCAGGAGAGACCGAGCAGAAGTTTTCTTCCCTTTTGAACACTTTTCCATGGGACTTCTGGAAAACTGCTTTGCAGCTCAGTTAACGTTACCAAATACCCATCCAATATTTTTTCCCCATCAAAACCATTTTTTTTTCTTCAGTGAAACAGATGTTAACAACAAATGGGAGGGGGGGGGGGGGTCCTATAAGGAAGTTTATCTGCATTGGGAACATGGTTTAAAAACACGCAAAACTTTGCAGCCAGAACATGCTCTGCCCAAATCTTACCAACAAATAAGCATATTAAATCCAAACCGACGAGCATCTTCCTCTTGGTACAAAACGAGTTATCCTGCTCGGGCTGCGTGAGGAAATGTTTCCCTGCTCCGTTCTCCTTCCCTTCCCCGGCTGCCCCGCTGTCAGCCAGGCGCAGCTGGAGCTCCGCGTCCCGGGGCAGCGCGCCGCCGTGCGTCCCGCTGGAGTTCAACTTCTGCATGGCTTTTTTTCCGCCGACAACCTGAATAAAAGTAGTTGCAGTCCGTCCTCACGGTCGCACGGGGGGTTTGAGACTTCTTAGTCCGTCCGTCCGTGGAAAAAATCCATGTCAACTTGCGTTTGACAGCAGCAGACAACCCACCGAGAGACCAGCCGCTCTGGAGTTGAGGTATCGTCTGTCATCAATACCAAGAAGCCCAGCGGGAAAAGCGAAGGCAGTGGGGAAGTGGAAATAGCTGGGAACACTGGAAAAACACCCAACATGCAATTAAAACTTCACTGCAGATGTCCTTTTAGTGGCATGCCACCCTGCTGGACAGCGCCAATATTTACGCGCGATTCTCCAAACTTGGACTTTGGAGCTCAAACCTCGAAATAAAGTCCTTTGTTAATGAAAGCCCCTCCCAACGCCTGTTCTGGTTAGGGGGAGAAAAAAAACAGCTTACTTTTTCCTGTGATATGAAAAATATGACCTGACGCAGTGACTGTTTTCAAACCGAGAGGTCAGAGCTGTAAAATCAAATATGTATCGATCAGAGCTCTAATGTTCGCTCCACCACCGGCCCCCTCTGACCGGTGCTGTCCACTCACAGATGTCCTGAGGCACTGAGCTGTCCCACCCATGTCACGACACGTCCCAACTTCTGCTGCTCAGAGCGACACATTTTTCTAGGTGGAGTTTTTCTTTCTTTTTCTTTCTGTTTATACACTTTTCCAAAATATTCTACATAATTCAGTTATGATCAGCCCAAAACTCCCTCATCAAATGGACCTTTTCCAGAGCATAAAGATGTTGTCCAGCTGTTTGTCCAGTGAGACTGAAACTCATTCAGACACTTGAGAAATGTTTCATTTTGCTTTCTAACTAAATGATTGATGGCGTGTATATCTGTTCATAAACCACTGAGCAACATTTACGATTGACCTTTGAACTAGATCTGACTAAAAGCTTAACGGCCTTCTGGAGTTATCCTGCCACCTGCTGAAGAGATGCAGGCTGTTGCATTTCTTCTCTAAAGCTTCAGAGTGGTTCTGTATCAGGATGATTCAGAGTGTTTTTGCTGTCACATAAGTACTGAGGGCAACAATGAAATTATTCTAATGATTGTTCTGCATAAGTTTAAAGATTGTTTAAGCTTTTTATTAATTTATTAATTTTCATTTCATTTTATT